AAAAAATATATACATATATTTATTTAATAAGTAAATAGTACAAAGTAAGCTCGCAAATACCCTGGAAATCATAAGCTCTGATTTTATATATTTGGACATACAAATTCTTAGCCATTCATTTATTTCCCAAAGTAAGTTCAAAACTGTTTGCACCCCGGTTGTATTTTTTCCTAGTATCTAGGGACCCAGCCATCTCTAGTTGTTTTTTTTTTTTTTTATATATCTCAGCACAAGTGCCATAAAGATTACTTTGAATAGAACACAAGCGTACTCAATTGGCACTAATAAATGCCGAGCTAGGTAGACTTATGTACGGCGCGTTTATCCTCCAATTCTACGTATCTACATACATATATTAATTCTCAATTTTTGTGTGCATCTAATAAGGAAATTACTTGTTAACGTACGCGTGTGCGTCTACTATATGTGGGCGTGTATTTTTATCGTGTTTTTACTCAATGGACAAGTATTTACCACTCACTATATGAGCTGTCTATCAAGAGTGGCATCAGCAATGTACTCCATAAATAATTTACTGTACGCTTTAACATACATATATAGGTATATAAATAACCGAAAATAGGCGCACCATATCTGAATAACTGATATCGATAGGACCATAAAGCGATTTAGCGGCGCATATAACACCAAATGACATAATGCGATATGGCATGGAATCTAACGATAAGCCATCAATGATTAGTGCAATATCTCATAGCTCATGTTTGCGTACATACATACATAAATACTATGTATGCATACATGTGTGCCTATTATATACATATATATATATTATATAAATATATATATTTCAGATATATATTTGGCTGCACTGTGGCATGCTTTGGTTACGCTGATAAGAATTGAAGACATCACGAAGTGTGTCTTATTGCCTGCTCTTGATTCCGTTTCTATTGCCTACAAATATTTAATCATGAGAAAAATCAACAAGCCTTGACATTTTATGGACATATTGGTTTATGATTTGATCAAGGTGTTACACGTAATAATTGTCGGTTCTCTTTCTGATTTGTAAGGCTTAATCATTTCCAATTTGCTCAGTAAAAGTTGATGAAAGGTATTTACTTTGCTGGATCGGTGAACATCACAATTATTATCACCTCACTTGGAGAAAAAAAAAAAATACTTTTTGCTGTTTTCAGCTGCTAAATAAGTCAAAGCACATGTTTCACAAATTTATTTTCGTCTAAAAAAATATAAATGTGTATATACAAATAAATGATTACAGCTCGGTCTGAATTGCTTCTGATCCACAGTTTTAGATGCACTGCATACAGCACTGGCAAGCAATACTTTCAAACTGTTTGTAAAGCTTTCGCGAGGAGCTTTTCCGCTGCGCGTGAGTTCAGCTTTGGCTGTTACAATTCGAATGCGAATGCTTGCTTTCATTGTATACAGTACAAGCGAAGACAATTTTATTTTATCTTCTGAACTAACAAATGTGTTTATTTAATTAATTATAAATAAATAATATATATAATAAAATAAATAAAAATTTCTCATACATAATTATGCTTTAAGATTGGTTCATTATTTATTTACTATCATGTCATAATTAGTGTAATATCTTTAAGCAACGGCATATCAGCCGCTGCACGTGTGGAAGCGTAAATACCTTTACCTACAGCCTGGCTGGCGGCTTATTGATTTTTTAATTTAAAAAAAAAAATAAAACAAAAATATATCGAATTGTGACGCGTGTCTCTACACAAGTTCAAATGTAGGTCATAGTGAACAAAACTATGTTGTGTTAGTTCAGCGAAATTCAGACAACTGCACTTGAACTGACTGAAATCGCGTGATTTGCGTGGGCCAACAGCAACTAAAAAAGCTGCACTGAAATTTTAGCTCAGATGTTGAAATGTATGAATCTCTCTGTATGTGTGTAGTGTATAAGTTTATGCTAGTATGTGTGAGCATTCACGATTATGTGTGTGTGAGTAGAGGGGCACGCTCGCGTTTGCTGATTGGCCAAGTGTTTTGGGGCTTGGCTCTCGTGACGTCACGCGCACATCTAACTCAACAGACGTATAAATATGTAAATATAACTGTGAAATATACAGTTGAATGACGTCGCTGGCATTGACGTAGTCACAGTTCAGTCTGAGGCAATGTTGTTGCCTTAATGAGCTTTTACGTAACACGCGAGTGGCGGAGGCCACTTGGTGAAATGGGCGGGTCTAGAGAGTTTTGACCATGCTCTGCGTGTAGGTCGCCTGGGCTCCGTAATTAGTATACACACACAGTTTGGCATTGCGTGCTGCTCTGGCCCCATGGCCCAAAGGTTCGGCCACGGCAGCAGATACACACTGTGCAGCAATACTAAGAGCTACGTGTGAGCATGCTTTTAGGCGCTCTGTGCGCCTGTTCCGAGCTTGAAGCGTGCCAAATGTTTGGTTGTATTTCAGTCCCAGCTTGCAACGCACCTAAACAATGTCACCCCAGATGTTGTCGCACGTGACGAGGGGTACTCGCTATTTAATGAGAGTTAATCAAAAACTCAACAATATTCACTCTGTTCTAAACTAATTCGTATGCCGGATATCCTTTCTTATGTTAATCATATAAGCGATTGAAGACCCTGTTGTTTTAGGTTGTTTCTTTATTTTATATGCATATGTGACTTGTGTATACGATATGCTCGTTGCCTAACTCATATCGTCAGCAACACTCGTTTTCAGCGCTGTCATGTTTATTCATTTGTGGCGATACTCTGGAATTTTTAGTAATGCGGGTATATGTATTTGAAAGCAAATATAAACGATAAGCAGAGTACATACATATGATAAGAAGATTTTTTTAGAATTATAATGGTTGCATCTTCAACACACTTGAACTGAAAAATATACATACCTACTATGTATCTAATATAATAATTTCATTTTCATGCAGATGCACACATGCTTGAATTTCAAACCGTTCTAAAGAATAAATTTAGATGTCTATCCTATTTTGGATTTTTTCTGCCAGCAGCTAAGGGGGGAAATATTTTTAGAGATTTATTTGAGATAACAACTAGTTTATTATATCTTTGTACACAAATACAAACTTAGAGTATGAGGAATTCGTGTTTAAGCATATGTTTGTATAGCTCTGTATACCATATGGCTTAAAATAAACATTAGTAACTTATATTATTATTAAATATAATTCAATTACAAGTGCCTAAACTATTTCATTGGTAAGCCTTATTATTAACGTTTTATAGGATATCCATAGTTCGGTTCCAGAAGTAAAGCATTTAAAGTTCTTGACGATACGAGGCAAATATAATTTCTATTCGAATTTTCGAAAAGAAAAACACTCATGTTTACTCACTCGTATGTTGACGCATATTGATTCATTACCGCATATTCATTGGGGATCTATAGTGTCTGCCTTTCTCAAGTGTCAGAAAGACAAGCGTGATCCATTGAGTGAATGCGCTGATGCGTAAAGAGCGACGCATTACTCGAAGACCGAAACCAAACAAGAATGAGCGCCTTTATCGAAGAGTATGATATACTATATAAGAAAATTCTCGTATGCATTTTCGATTCGTATGTAAACAATGTAAACAGGCACCTGGAGCTGTGTGAGTGCGCGTGTGTGCATATGGAAATGCAACTGCGGGCTGGCTTATTTACACTGTGTGCATCTATATATAAATTGTGAATACCTCGTATACATATATGTACATATAGTGTATATCTATAAGTTATTCGGAGAATCGGAAAATGTAAATTTCGCCTTTGTCGTGCGACAATTTCGTATTTACCAAAAGATGCAAACAGATTGGCCTGAATTTGTTAATTATATGATAATACAAGGGGCAGAACAAATTTATTAATTGTAAACAATATTTCATTATATTTTTAAGATTTTCATGTATATGTCGAAGAGCAAGTAGTACTAATTTGTTTGCGCGCATTGTAATTGTG